GGGGGAGGATGGGAAGGGATGGGAAGGGGAAACAAAGGAGGAGGCTACAATGCTTGATAAGAAATGTACTCATTATTTTGCCCATGTAATTGTAACCCCTCTGTACAGTATTTTTACAATAAAAAATATTTCCTTAACCATTTGTATATGAAATACCCTGCCATAAAAATGAAAGTAGTTGTAAACCATGTTATTTTCTCTAGTTCTTCATTGAATTTTCTGTGGCTACTAGCTCATTAATTTACATGCAAACCTCTTACTGAACTTTATGTGGGGAAACTTTATTTCAGGTAAAATTACATATAATACAGAGACTATAATTAACAAGCCACACCAATGATAACTGTCAGCTTGACAAGAAATTATATTTATGCAAATGTAAAGTAGAGAAACGCATTTTATGACACCTACATTTAGCATTTAAGTCTCTTTCCAAGTAACTTGCAAATATTTAAATGCCTCATGTCCAATATTCAAAGCATGTAACCCGCATTGTATTTAATGGTCTTAATATCTATATAGTAATATGCTAATATATTTCATGTTCATGTTTTTCTCTGTGAAAATTTGTAACTTAGAGAATATTCCAGTGAAATTGAAGGCACATTTTAATTTTATTTTTCTTTTCAGAATCGCCTAAAGATAATGGTGGAGCACACATTTTAAGTTATACTTTAGAAGTTAATGACAATGCACATGGTAAGACATCCTGATTTTTTTGTTTGCTTATTGTCTTTGCCAGTACCTTGGCTTGACTCTTTCACTCTTGCTCCGAGTACATGTTCATGGCTGGTGATCTACCACTTAAGCCACACCTCCAGCCTAGCTCTTTGCTGGTAAACTGGATATGGAGTCACCGACTTTTCTGCCTGGGCTGACTTTCAACAACAGTCCTCCTAAGTCTCAGACTTCTGAGTAGCTAACAATACAGGCATGAGCCACCAGTACCCTCCTAGGTATTGTGATTTTTTTTATTTCACTTAGACATAATTTTAGACTCACCCAGAAGTTGCAAAAATAATATATAAAGATCCCATGTGAGGGTTTTATTCCGTTTCTCCTAAGATTAATATCTAAGCAGAATGCAATTATCAAGACCTGGAAATTAGTATTACTATACTCCTGTTAACTAAACCTACTCAGATTTTTCTAGGGGTTTGGGGTTTGTTTTTTGGGGGGAGATTCTTCGTTTTTTTATTTTTTGGTCAGTCATGGGGCTTGAACTTGGCCAGGGAGCTGTCCCTCAGCTCTTCAGCTCAAGGCTAGCGCTCTATCACTTGAGCCACAGAGCCACTTCCAGTTTTCTGGTGGTTAATTGGAGATAAGAGTTTCACAGACTTTCCTACCCAGGCTGGCTTTGAACCACGATCCTCAGATTGCAGCCTCCTGAGTAGATAGGATTACAGGTGTGAGCCACTGGCACCCGGCTCTCTAGGGTTTTTTTGTCTGTTTGTTTTAATTTTGTTTTGGGGGATTTTTTGGAAACAAATCATTCTTTACTGATGTCTAGTGTGCTCATGGTTACTTCTATTGGGAATTCCATAACTATTATAACTAGAGAATTGGAACAAAGTTAATTTCCAAAGTGTTTATTTCCTAGTATATATGTGAGCTATAATGGGAACACAAAAGGTCTATAAGTAGCCTATAAATAAATTGGATAACTGTTCTTTTTCACTCAGAAAATGTTTGGAATATAATCTACAATGGCTCCATTCGGGAATTTTTATGTGATCATCTGCAACCTGATAGGATATATAAACTGAGAGTATTTTGCACTTCACCTGTAGGACATAGCCAGGTGAGGAAAGAGAGAAGAAAAAGGTTTTAAATTGAAGATTGAACTGAATTGTATTATATGCTAAATGTTTTACAAAACTAACCTTGAATGTAATATAATCATAAGTTCTTTTGTATTTCTCTTAGCCTTCAGATGAATTGACTGTTCAAACACCTGCGCTTGCTCCCTCGAACCGTACTCAATCTTCAAATCATAAAAAGAAGTCCAAAGAAACAAGCTCTCAATGTGGTGAGATTACCTTGCATTATTTCAGTCTTACCTAAACTTTCTGCTCTATAACTTGTGATTTTTTTACATAGTAAATATTACTATGCATGGAAATGCTACAGTAAAACAGTTATCGTTTAGCTAATATATGTTAATTTTAAAACATTTTTAAGTTATTGAAGCAAGCCAAGCACTGGTAGCTCATACCTGTAATCCTAGCTACTCAGGAGGCTGAGGTCTGAGAGTATCAGTTCAAAGCCAGCTTGGGCAAAAAAGTCCAAACTGCAGTTAATTACAAAAAGCCAAAAATGGAGCTGTGACTCAAGTTGTAGAGTGCTAGACTTTAAAAAAAAAAAGGCTAAAGATCCCTGAGTTTAAACCCCAGTACTGGCACAATGGGAACAAATGGTTTCCTTTTGGTACAAACTCAAACATAGATTAGCAATTTAATTCCTAGTAATTGCAAGCCCCAGTTTTTTAATGTCTACATCAAACTAAGATGTTAAATGGCACAATTTTTTGAGTCTTCTGCTACATCATTAAGCATTTTAAGATATTTTTTGTTTGGACTTTTGTTTTGGAGTTTTGTTTTTGTTTTGTTTTATGGGTTTAATCTCAGAACTTCAGGCTTGCTAGTCAGGTGCTCTACCACTTGAGCCATGCCCCTGCCAGACTTTAAGCATTTGAAAATAGACAAGTCATTTTGTATTGTTTTAAAGGAATTACGCTTAAAACTACTTGTAAGGGCTGAAGTGTAGCTCAGTCGTAAAGGTTATGCACAAGACCCAGAGTTCCATCCCTAGCACAAAGAAAGAAAAAACTACTTGTAAAAATAAGTTGATTTTTTCCATTTTATAGCTAATCCTCCTGCTACTGACAATTCTGAAGCACCTGTGCTTATCAGAAACACAGAAAATAACCAAGATTTTGGCCCTGAACATGCAGACACGGTGAGTAAATTAATTCCTAAGAATATAAGTTTCCAGCTAACAGCAACAAATGGAGGGGAAGAATTACACTGTTTGTTTGGCTTATGTATACTTTATTTCATTTTGTATGAATATGTGCTTCAATGGCACTTCTTGTCGGGGTAGGGTAACCCCTTCTACAAAATCATTTCCATGTTTGCTTATTTTTGCTTGCTTGTTTATTTACTTGCAGCTTGGATCCCATTCTGTACCATGTGAAAGTGCACCAGTCCCACGTCCTCCCGCACAGTGTAGTGCACCTGTGCTGACCTGCAAGGGTCCAACCTGTATTGTAGTTAGCTGGACAGTAAGTTATCAGTTTACTTTCATTACTTTTGCAGACATAAGAGCACAACACAGAAACATACATGGGGGTATGTACATTACACATACAAACAAATGGACTAAAGGATGCTATATCCCCTGAATTTCAATGGTGTAACTCCTCTGGGAAAAAAGGGAACATATTAATGGTGTAGAACATTTTGAGGACTAGACATTCTCAAGGAGTCAGAGAGTAGAATTAGGGTCCCACAAATCTTGGTCTATAGTTTCTAGAACACATTTAGAAACTGATGCCAATGGTATTATGAAGGCTACTGTAATAATCTTGTTCTCTACATCCTATATTTGAGGAAAATAATATATTTCGAAGTCTGAATCGATCACCAGTAGATTAAATAATAGATTATGATATGAAATCTACAAACCTTGAGACATGCTAAGTAAGTACACTACCACAGAGCTACACACTCAGTCCAGAATTTAATATTATTTAAAGAGCTTCATTAGGAAATCTCTGCTGTTTCTTTGCATGTAACTGCAATATGGCACATAAGATTATGACTATAAGGTACTAACCCTTTTTTATTGATACTTTTTTTATTGTGAAAATACCATACAGAGGGGTTACAATTACATGAGCAAGGTAATGAGTACATTTCTTATCAAGCATTGTTGCCTCCTCTTTTGTTTCCCCTTCCCATTCCTTCCCATCCCCGCCCCCCCACCCCTGCCAAAGTTGTAAAATTCGTTTTTCGACAAAGCATCTTGTACATTTCATTGTTGGAATGGGTCCACCTGTATCCCTATTTTTTCCCTTCCCCTCCCCAAATTATACCAACATCAAATACAGTGAAAACAGGAGTTATACCGTGGGGGAGGGACATACAAAGCAACAAAAAAAAAATCACCTTATAAATATGTTAGAAACAATAGCAAGAAAGAAAAACCACTCAAGTCCTTATCTTGGGGTTCATTTTGCCTAACATCAACTTATCCGAACTTTTCTGCTTGTCTCAGACATATACTAGTTATTGCAAATAAGGGAAACCATGAGACCTATGTTTTTTGAGCTTGGCTTACTTCACTTAATATAATTTTTCCAAGTCTTTCTATTTCCTAACAAATGGGGCAATGCTATTCTTTCTGATTCCCATCAGCAGATGAATGGATCAAGAAAATGTGGTATAGGTACTAACCCTTAAAAAGCAAACTTTTTACATCCATATGACTATTTTCTCATTCAAACTAATTAAGCTAAAAAATGAGAACTGGCACAAGTGACTCACGACTCTAATCTTAGCTACTCAAGAGGCTAAGATCTGAGGAACACAGTTCAAAGCCAGCTTGGGCAGGAAAACCTACAAAATTATTATCTTGGCTGGAAGTGTGGTTTAGTGGTAGAATGCTTGCCTAGCATGCATGAAGCCCTGGGTTCGATTCCTCAGCACTACATAAAGAGAAGAAAAAAACAGAAGTGGAGCTGCTCAAGTGGTAGAGCGCTAGTCTTGAACACAGAGAGGCTCAAGGACAGTGTCTTGGCTCTGAGTTCAAGCTCCAGGACCACCAGAAAAAAAAAGACTATTATGTCCAGCTTTTCACACAAAAAAATGGAAGTGGAGTTGTGACACAAGTGGTATGGTGCTGCTAGCTTTGAGCCCAAGACTGGCACAAAAAAATGAGAACTAGTGCAACTATTAAGCCACCTAGTATATTAGAATTTTTCTTCCCTTTTTATGTGGACTCATGCAAAGAAATTGTCACGACACAAGTCTTAGCTACTAGCAAAGAGATGACAGAGCTAGTTGCTTCATTATATAAAGGCCAGAAAGTATCAAGGCTTTGTTTGATCACACTAATCTATAATAATGTTAAACAAAATGGACTTTTCTGTTTGCTCACTCAAAAATACCTATTTAAAAGTAATTTTAATACTTTTTTGTTCAGGTCTTAGAGTTTGAACTGAGGGCCTAGGCGCTGTCCCTGAGATTTTTTTTTTGCTCAATGCTAGCACTCATCACTTGAGCCACAGCTCCACTTCTGACTTTCTTGCTGATCAATTGGAAATGAGTCTCACAGACTTTTTTGCCTGGGCTGGCCTCAAACTGTAATCCTCAGATCTCAGCACACTGAGTAACTAGGATTACAGGCAAGAGCCACTGACACCCAACTTTAGTACATTTTGAAAAGGTTTTCATCTAAGCCAGGTGCCAGTGCTGCACATCTGTAATCCTAACTACTCAGGAGGCTGAAATCTGGATGTATAAGGCAGAAAAATCCTAGAGAATCCTATCCAAAGTAACCAGTAAAAAGCCAGATTGGAGATGTGACTCAAGTGGTAGAGCACCATCCTTGAGTGAAAAAGCCGAGCAAGCACATGATGCCCTAAGTTCAAACCTTGGTATTGGTAAAAAAATAAAATAACAAAAAAGGCATCTTTCTAATATGTGGGCAAATAACAAATACTTTTTCTTAATTTTACTTGAACCTTTAATGTTAATTAGTGTCCTGTCAGTGTTAACATGTGTCCCTATCACACATCATTGATTGATTATAAGATTTCATAACCAAATCCTGTTGTGACTCTCCACGGTATCTAATATAATGAGCACTTAAATAATTAAATTTCTGTGTTTGTTGAATCTTTCAGGTTCCTGAATGTAATGGTGCTGAAGTCACTGATTACAAACTAGAATTGGGACAAACTGAAGAATCTATGCAATTGATTTATACTGGTATTTGTCTGCGATATGAAGCAAAAAGTCTCATTCCTGCAACTACATATTTTTGCAGAGTTCAGGTAAAGCTAATAATTCCTCCTATGTAAACAGGACAATTGCTAGTATTCTACACACTCCACATAGAGAACACTTGCAGCATTTCCAGTGGAGAGACTAGAGGAGAATCCAAAAGGGAGGGACTTCTACATCATAAATATTACTCAGAGTGATAACAATCTGAGCTCCTTCTTGTGGCATTTAAAGCCCCACTGAACTTCCCATCCCAACCTGAGCTATCACAGTTCCTATTCAAATTCAGTATTCAAATTTCTCTGAACTTAGCAATCACTTGAAATCACTTGTCAAAAACAGTAATTCCCACACCAACATCCAGATCTATTGAATCAAAATTGCTAATCCAGAAATCTTGCTAATTGCTATATTTAACAAGCACTTGCTACAGTTATCATTGAACAAAACTCTATAAACTCCTTCTTCAAAGTCAGTGAATATTCCATGCCCTCAATGTGCCTTGCATATCTGTCCATACTGTGCTATCACCTGTCTTGTCTTTCAAACCCTAAAACCCTAGCTCTTGCATATATCTTTCCCCTGAAAATGAATTCTTCTTCTTATGATCAACCAGAATTCCGACATATATCAACTTAAAATTTTTGAGAAACAGTCCAAATTTAAAGTAATGTGACATGGACTCCTTATAAAGTTTAAGCAATTCAAAATATTCCAGGAGGATCTGGGGGTATACCTCAGTGGTAGCATGTAAAAGAGTCCTGGGTTTAATCCTCAACACTGATCAACAAAAGCACAAATCTGAGCACAGACATGCAAACCTGTAAGTCTGGCACTCTGGTAGCAGAGGCTGGAGGATTGTGAATTATAAAGTCTAAGCTCCATCTCTGAGAATGCCTATCATGTCCTAACTACTATTCTAACCCTTAATTTCTAAGAGATTAACATTTTTAGATCCCACATATGAGTGAGATCATGTGTGTGAGATGTGTCTTTCTTTGCCTAGCTAATTTCAGTTACAATAATGATTCCCACTTCCATCTATAATTGTTAGAATTGACAAGACTTTTTTTGTGCCAGTCCTGGGGCTTGAACTCAAGGCCTGGGTGCTGTCCCTGAACTTTTTGCTCAAGGCTAGTACTTTACCACTTTAGCAACAGCTCCACTTCTAGTTTTTTTGATAGTTTATTGGTGATAACAATCTCACTTCCCTTCCTGGGCTGACTTCAAACCATAATCCTTAGATCTCAACCTCCTGAGTAGCTAGGATTACAGGTGTGAGCCATTGGTGCCTGGTATCTTTTTATGGCTTAAAAACTAGCATACTGTAGTAAGTATGTACTACATTTTCTCTATCCATTCATGAGTTTATGAACACACAGTTTGTTTCTATTTCTTTTCTTTTCTTACTATACTAGGGCTATTCAATTCCTAAGGTTTTTTGGTTTTTGTATTTTTAATATTATTTACTTTATTGTTATTATAAAGGTGATATACAGAGGGATTGCAAATACATGTAATACATGTACAAATACATGTCAGATAATGAGTGCATTTCTTTTCATAGTGTCCCATCTCCCTCCCATCTCCACCCATGATTGTCCAGTGAGCTGTTTCTATTTCTTGACCTCTATGAATAGTACTTCAGTATACAACAGTCCCTTGTTATACTGGACTATGTGGTTCTAAGGAGACCTCCATTAAGGAAACATTACACATACTCAGGATGCACAGAATTGTATATGCTTGACTCATTTTTCCCATAATGCTGTCTAACTTCCACTAAAGACATGCCACCTTTCAACAAAAGTAAAATTTTCACTTTTTTCTTTGTGTGTGTGTGTGTGTGTGTGTGTGTGTGTGTGTGTGTGTGTGTGTGTGTACTGGGACTTTAATTCAAGGCCTCATACTCTTGGTGGGCTTTCTTGCTCATGGCTGGCCCTCTACCACTTGAGCCACACTTCTATAGCCCATCAATCTTTTCTGCCTTGGCTAGCTTTGAACTATAGTCCTCTGACTCTCAGCCTCCTGAGTAGCTAAGATTATAGGCATGCGCCACTGGCAACTGGCTAATTTTTTTCTTTAAAGAACAAATTTAGCCGGATGCTGGTGGCACACATCTATATTCTTAGCTACTCAGGAGGCCAAAATCCAGAAGATGAGTTCCAGGCCAGCCCATATAGAAAAGTCTGCTGGACTCCATCTCCAAAATAACCAAGCCAAAAGCAGAGCTGGAGGTGTGGTTCAAGAGATAAAGCACCAGCTGAACAAGCTCAAGGCCCTGAGTTCAACCCCAATACTATCAGTAAAATGAACAAATTTATTAAAATTATACATAAGTAAAATTGAATAAAACACGAATAGTAAAAAGCAAGGTTGTCAGCAAAATTAAGATGCACATTAATATTTTTCAGTATAAAACAGTAACAACTAATCCAAACTATTAACCAGTAACCAAAGTAAAATGTGTGTTTTTAAAAGTAAGGGATAATATAATTTTTTCCAAGTCTTTCCATTTCCTAACAAATGGGGCAGTGTCATTCTTTCTGATGGAGGCATAGAATTCCATTATATATATGCATATATATATATATCACATTTTCTTGATCCATTCATCTACTGAGGGGCATCTGGGTTGGTTCCATATCTTAGCTATGGTAAATAATGCTGTGATAAACATATTTGTACTGGTAGCTTTATATAGCCTTTCCAGGCCCCAAGAAACGTAGGTCCCATGGTTTCCCTTATTTGCAATAACTAGTATATGTCTAGAACAAGCAGAAAAGGTCAAAAGCTATGTACATATGACCTTATAAGATGATGCTAAGCAAAATGAACCCCAAGATAGTGGTTTTATGTTTCTTGCTGTTGTTTTTAATGTACTTATAATGTACCATATGATTTTTTTTGTTTCTTTTGTATGTTCTTCCCCCATGGTATAACCCCTGTTTTCACTGTATTTGATTCTGGTGCCCTGAATCTTGTATATACAGTTTTCTGATTTGGGGAGGGGAAGGAAAATAACAAAATGCTGAAATAAGGATATAGGTTGACCCATTGTAACAACGAGATATACAAGACACTATGTTGAAACAAACTTTACAGCAAGGGGGAAGGGGAGGGGAAGGGAGGAGTTGGGGAGGTGCAAGGGAAGGGATCTTAGTGGAAAAACAAAGGAGGAGGTAAAGAATGCTCAATAGGAAATGTGCTCATTACCCTACTCATGTAACTGTAACCCTTCTGTACAATATTTTTACAATAAAAATATACACAAAAATTAAAGTAAGGTCTAGAGATGTAGCCCAGTTGCTTAACATGCATAAGGCCATGGGTTCAATCCCCAGCATCACAAGGAGAAAAAAAATAAAACAGCCACCAGTATTCACTGAATGAAAGAGGATGAGGCAGGAGAATTCCAAGCTCAAAGCCTGCCTGGGTTATAAAATAGGATCTTCATCTTCTTCATCATGATCCTCTTCTCCTTTTTTTAATAGAGATAAAGGATCGAGGCTATCCTCCTCCATAACACTAACTGGTTCTCATGATGATGATCTTGAACAATCTGACTACATTTGAGCCTGACAGTACTGGTTCGTTATCTTCCTTTGGTATTCTTGATCAATTTCTCTGTTCATTTTCTTCCTTGCTTCCAGTGTTTTTCAACTCCCTTTCAACAGCTATTCAAGTTTACCCAAACATTACTTCCAAGTCAAGTTTGTGAGCTTTCCCTCACCCCATTCCCAACCCTGTGAAGCCTACGATGAACATCAGCTGGGTGTTTGGTCCCTAGGATGCCCTTAAATGTTTGCTTTAGCACTTCAATTAAGTATATTCACTTGCCAAAGTGGTTGAACAAGTTTACACTCCCACCAACAATGCAGTAAGGTTCCCTTCTGTCCACATCCCCTCCAGCATCTGTTGTTATTAGAGTTCT